TCACAGCAACCTCCAACTCCTGGGCTCAAGTGAGTCTCCTGCCTCAGCCTCCCAAGTAGCTAGGACCACAGGGGCCCCCCACAATGCCCAGCTATTTTTTGGTTGCAGCCGTCATTGTTGTTTGGCAGGCCGGGGCTGGATTCGAACCCACCACCTTGGGTGTAGGCGGTTGGCGCCTTAGCCACTTGAGCCACAGGTGCCAAGCCTATTCCAGGCTTGTCAATGAAAAGAATAGGAGTGTTCTCCTGGGTGTGATGCCTCACACCTGTCATCTCAGGACTTGGGATGTCAAGGCAGATAGATTTTCTGAGCTCAAAGGTTCAAGATCAGCCTGAGCCAGAGCTAGACCTCATGTCTAAAACACAGCCAGGCATTGTGGAGGGCAACTGTAGTTCCATCTACTTCGGAGGCTGAGGCAAGAGAATTGATTAAGCTCAAGAATTTAATGTTGCTGTGAGCATTGACAGCACAGCACTCTACGAAGGCTGACCAAGTGAGACACTGTCTCAAAAAAAAAAAAAAATAGGTGTGTTATATAAAGATTGACAGGGCCTTATAGGCCCCCATCTCATAAAGTTGTCAATCAATGGGGCTATGTCTACTATTGTTTCATGTTTCAAAAGTATGGCCTTTTTTGTGGAGGTTGAACTTCTGATTTTAAGTGGGCCTGAACTGGGATGATCCTGAGGGCTTTCCTAGAGCTATCCTCTTCCAAGGTAGAGAAGTTTACCTGCATGTTGATTTCTTCTGACCATTTGTCCTCAGCCTCCAGATGCTGCAGTAGCACCTACCAGACATGTTCATGCTGTACCTTCATTGGAAGGCTACTATTTTCTGGACAGAAGGTAATCTGAGTACATAAATTAGACAAGACTCTCCCCAGCAAGACAACAAGGAAAACAACCATCTGAAGGAACCAGTGAGGCATCTCTTTTTCTCCAATGTAAGAGGTTTAAGAATTTGTGTTCCGGCTGTCCTGTCACTTCTGCTACAGAGTCAGGTTGTTTAGTCATAGGAGAGAGTGTAGTATGAAGCGCTAAATATGCAGCCCTGGCATTTGTTAGAAAGTCTTGACCCACAGCTTTCCACAGGTAGAGAAGGGAGGGTAGACTATCCAGTAGACAAGGCCTCCCTACAGACATTGAGGCAAATTGTTGCTGTCCAGAAAGGCATCATTGTCAGGGATGAAGCAATACCTGTGGACAATGCAGTGCCCATCTCAGGTGGCCAGAGTTCCCCAGGCCCTGCATTTTCCCACCTGAAATCACAACGTTAGATTCCAGGTGCAGGAGGCATCTGTTACCAAGTATCTAACCACTTCCTACCCTCAATACCTGAGTTTCATACCTACCTGTGGCTGGGCACCTCTGTTTAGCTTT